CCGACAGTGGTTAATCAATCGTTAATTATTAGCTAGTTGATTATTTTATTATTAATTAATTAATAACTATAATTATTTTATCGATATTATTGATAATAGTTAATAATATTACCGATAGTGGTTAATCAATCGTTAATTATTAGCTAGTTGATTATTTTATTATTAATTAAATTATTAACTATAATTATTTTATCGATATTATTGATAATAGTTAATAACATTACTGACAGTGGTTAATCAATCATTAATTATTAGCTAGTTGATTATTTTATTATTAATTAATTACTAACTATAATTATTTTATCGATATTGTTGATAGTAGTTAATAACATTGCCGACAGTGGTTAATCAATCGTTAATTATTAGCTAGTTGATTATTTTATTATTAAGTAAATTAATTATTAACTATAATTATTTTATCGATATTATCGATGACAGAAAAGTTTTTTTTCTCAATAAACCCCGCTTCAAATGAACAAGAACTACGTCCGTCCGTCCGTCCGTCCGTCGGTCAGCCATTCCACGCGTGCAACCGAACGCGCGCGCACACGGACGTACACGCACACAGACACAGACACAATGAATAACGAGAAATCAAAAATAAAAATCTTTCCGGTACATTCACACTTACCAGGAAATTAAAAACGACGGACGGACGGACGGACGGACGGACTGGGGGCCGAGCCGGGTTTGTGTTTCACAGATTCTCAGTGTTTATTCCTCGCGCCTCGGGTTGTGTGGACAGACCCGGGGTCGGGACCCGGGGCGGCCGCAACCGCGGAAAAACACAACGAAACGAAGTGAGACCGACTGTTTTCTTTATTTGTTTATTTTTTTTATTCTGTTTTCTCTCTTTCACTCTTTATTTATTTTCTTTGTTCTATTTTCTTTCTTTCTCTCTCTTTCATTCTTTTATTTTCTTTATTCTGTTTTCTCTCGTTCTCTCTCTTTCTTTCTTTCTTTTATTTTCTTTCTTTCCCTCTCTTTCATTCTTTTATTTTCTTTACTCTATTTTCTTTCTTTCTCTCTCTTTCTTTCATTTTCTTTATTCTATTTTCTTTCTTTCTCTCTTTCTTTCTTTTATTTTCTTTATTCTGTTTTCTCTCGTTCTCTCTCTTTCTTTCTTTCTTTTATTTTCTTTCTCTCTCTTTCATTCTATTTTCTTTCTTTTATTTTCTTTGTTTCTCTCTCTTTCATTCTTTTATTTTCTTTATTCTATTTTCTTTCTTTCTCTCTTTCTTTTATTTTCTTTATTCTGTTTTCTTTCTTTCTCTCTCTTTCTTTTATTTTCTTTATTCTATTTTCTTTCTCTCTCTTTTTTTTTATTTTCTTTATTCTGTTTTCTCTCATTCTCTCTCTTTTTTCTTTTATTTTCTTTATTCTGTTTTCTCTCTTTCTTTCTTTTATTTTCTTTGTTCTATTTTCTTTCTTTCTCTCTCTTTCTTTCTTTTATTTTCTTTATTTTCTTTCTTTCTCTCTTTCATTCTTTTATTTTCTTTATTCTGTTTTCTCTTTCTCTCTCTTTCTTTTATTTTCTTTATTCTATTTTCTTTCTTTCTTTCTTTCTTTCTGTTATTTTCTTTATTCTGTTTTCTCTCGTTCTCTCTTTCTTTCTTTTATTTTCTTTATTCTGTTTTCTCTCTTTCTTTCTTTTATTTTCTTTGTTCTATTTTCTTTCTTTCTCTCTCTTTCTTTTATTTTCTTTATTTTCTTTCTTTCTCTCTTTCATTCTTTTATTTTCTTTATTCTGTTTTCTCTTTCTCTCTCTTTCTTTTATTTTCTTTATTCTATTTTCTTTCTTTCTTTCTTTCTTTTATTTTCTTTATTCTGTTTTCTCTCGTTCTCTCTTTCTTTCTTTTATTTTCTTTATTCTGTTCTCTCTCTTTCTTTCTTTTATTTCCTTTATTCTGTTTTCTTTCTTTCTCTTTCTTTCTTTCTTTCTTTTATTTTCTTTGTTCTGTTTTCTTTCTTTCTCTTTCTTTCTTTCTTTTATTTTCTTTGTTCTGTTTTCTTGCTTTCTCTTTCTTTATTTATTTTCTTTATTCTATTTTCTTTCTTTCTCTCTTTTATTCCGTTTACTTTTCGTCTTATCCACACAGGGTTCCGCAGCGTAACCAGCCCCGCGTGTCTCCGACACGCTTCGTAGACCAGGCTGACCTCGAACCTGTCAGAGCCTCCGCTTCTCACATATGTTCCGCTCTGACCGGCTAAGACTCTCGTCTCTCATTTTTTTTTATTTTACTTTCGTCTTTATTTCTTTTTAACGATTCCAGCTTTTCCCAGCCGGTGTCGGAGGCCGGGGGAGGCGGATCGCTGTGAGTCTGCGGCGAGTCCGGCCTGCCGACCAGGTTACAGGAAAGGAGTCTCGGGATGACTGGTTAAAGTTATCGTTTATTATGTCTTCTTTCTTTCTTTTTTTTTTTGCTTTTTTTTTTTGGTTTTTCGAGCGGACGTCCGCGAGTTCGAGGCTAGCCCACTCTCCAGAGAAACCTCCAGGGGCTTGACCGCGGAAAGCCGGACCGTGAGGGAAAATCAAGAAAAGCGGAAAAGGTTCCGGCTTTTACCGTACAGACGTCGGGTCCCTCTCGTTCTGCAGAACTGTGATCAGGGAGGCGGCGTGTTCGACCTTTGTGACCGCGTTTCTGCGCGTGTGCGCGAGTGCGCGCGTGTTTCATATTCCAGCCGCGAGGGCGTAAATTAGCATAAATCACAGGAAACCTGCCTCGGGAGCGACCCTGCTGATTAATTTTATTTTTTTTTGTTTATTTATTTTTCAATTATGAGTTTATTAAATTAAGTTCGTAAAGCGAGTTAATTAATTCTCTAAATTAAATTAATCAAATTAAATGAAAAAGTAAATTAAAGAAATTAATTAAATTAAACACTAAATTAATTTAATTAAATTAAAATAAAAAGTAAATTAAATTAATCAAATCAAATTAAAAAGTAAATTAAATTAATCAAATAAAATTAAAGACTAAATTAAATTAATTAAATTAAAAAGTAAATAAATTAATCAAATTAAATTAAAAGCTAAATTAAATAAATTAAATTAAAAACTAAATTAAATTAATCAAATTAAATTAAAAATTAAATCGATAACCCCGATCCTTCAATCGGGAAACGGATAACCGGGAAGACGCGTCGGATTTTCCTCGGATTTTCCTCGGATGGTTGGACGGGGCCGCGCTTCCCCCGGGCTGGTGTCTGATCTCTTTGAATGTTTTTTTTAATTCACGTTATATTGTGTTAAATACTTTTCTGTGACGTTAAGATACTATTTATATTTAAATCATATGAATTTATAATATCTCATCTAATTCTTGAGCAGGGCCCCGAGGATCATGACTTTCCTTCCTTCCGTCGCGGGACGCTGTGTTTCCCTTGTCTCTCGTCTCTCGTCTCTCTGTCTCTCTCTCGCTCGCTCGCTGTTTGTCTCTGAAGCCCTGAGGTTCAGAACAACACGATGTGACCCCGTAAGTATCTGTTTTCCCTAAAATTCATGTCCCTCTTCTCTCTCTCTGTCTCTCTCTCTCTGTCTGTCTCTCTCATCTCTGTCTCTGCACATTTCTGTCTCTGTCTCTCT